GAATGTTCTCACGTGTGTGTTTGGTTTTTATGAACCAAACGCATGAAATATTTTTTAGGTGGTGTTGACATTTTGAATTCAATTCAGAACCTCTTGCATTCTTCGGATATCATGTTGAATTGTGTTTCAGTGGAATATACAATAATAATCCAGTATAATTTTATTAGTGGGGTCTGAGGATAGTGTGTACGCAGACCTTACCTCTACCCTGGGTAGAGAGGCTGTTTCCGATAGACCCTCGGCTCCCCCCACCAAAAATTCCCCACCTTGCTCTTGGGGTGATTCGAACTCATAACCTCTTGATTGAAAGTAAAGGGTGCTCACGACTATAGCAACTCAATCTTTGTCTTCATCTAAATTTATAAGATAAAGTGCACTTTTATTCAGTATCCGATTCATAATTTATTTATTAGACAAAATAGACACTTTAATTTATTTAATTATGTATTCAACGGGGCACCACCTTACCATTCAACAGGAGAAGCAGCGGTCTCCCCACACATTTCTGCGACTGCATTGCTGCAGAAAGCAGCTGAGTTGGGTGCTACAATGAGTAACAAAGCAAGTGCATCTGTCTCTGCATCATCTCCTGCACACAGTACAGGCCCAGCTGCCATTCTGATGAGACAATCACCCCACCAAACTCACGTGTCTGTTACTACTGATTCTGCAGCAGCTGCAGGTAGCAAACAAATTGATCAGTTTGGACTCAATTTGTCCGCACGTGAATTTGAGCTGACAAATAGTACTGGCCTTATCAATACCTTAGGCAATTCATACGGGAATAAAGTTGCTGCAGCTACAGTACCATCTTTTTCTTTTGCTAATGCTGCTGGTTTTGAAGGGTCAACGTTTGTAGATGCATTTGGTGGCTTTGGTACTTTGAATTCAAAGAAAGATAATGACTTCAACGGAACTACACTCTCAGAAACAACCAGTGGCATTAATGAGGATATTATGACCAAGGATTTCTTGGGTTTAAGACCTCTCTCTCACAACGATATTTTTAATATAGCTGGTCTAGTTAATACTACTTCTAGTAGTGAACATGATCAGTTTCAAAATCATAAAACATGGCAAAGTTAGCTTAGAATATTTTTATTTAGTTTGCACTAAATTGACTTCAATCTATTGCTTATGGTTACCATATAATGCAAGTGATATTTCACCCTTTCTCTTTCCGAATGTGATGTGTTTCTAATATCCGTATTTCTTTCTTTTTTTCGCATAATAATGAAATATATATATATATATATATATATATATATATACACACACACACACTTAAATAATTGGATATACAATTAGAGGAATATTAATAATTTTANATATATATATATATATATATATATATATATATATATAAACTGGAAAGGGAAATCCAGAACCCTAGCTAGTTAGTATATTTTTGTTGTTACGCCAGCTGGTCTGGACAGTAATATATTGTACACAAAAGAGCATGCACTTTGAAGCAACTTCGAGGAGAAAGATTAATTACTGTTGGTACGATTTTGATTTCTTTTTATAATTAATTAAGCTTTATTGTTGATGTGCGTAGGTTATTAAGCTAGGGATTTAAGTGTGTGGGTTCTAAATTTTAAAATAAAATACTGTTTTCAGCGGGAATCGAACCCCCATATTTCCTAACGAACCCACAGCCCTTACCATTGAACCAAGACCCCTTTTGTTACTCGGTTCGGCAGTATATATTTATATAGATTTAGTAAATATTTAAATACAAATACATGATTTCGAAAAAAGTCACTGGGTTCGCCCGAACCCACACCCACTACTGTAGCTCCTCCCCTGCCATTGTACTAGCTAGTATAGGACTGTTCAAAATCGAACCGAAATCGTTAACCGGATCAATAGCTTATTGGTTTATTAGTATCGAATTATCGGGGTAATGGATAGTGAACGGATTGAGATTTTATAATTAACGGCTTAACGGTTTGGGGGCGGATTACTCATTTTTCTTATCGGGTAAATCATTAACCCGTTAAGAATTTTTATATTTATACTTTTACCCCTATGTATATAAAGTACTATTGAAACCCTAAATGGCTAAATCCCTAATATTTATTTTCTAATTCTCAATTGTATGCAGCCATCAGAGGCAGAGAAGTCGCCAGTCTCGTCTCTCTCTTGAACTGAAAAGTCGAAAACTCGAAATCTAAAAGATTAATACGTGTATGCCTGTATGAGTAGTGTCACGACCCAATTTCACCTATAGGCCGTGATGGCGCCCAACGTTGCCGCTAGGCAAGCCAACGGTGAAATAGCCATGTATTTATTCTCTTTAACAATTTTGAAATAGTTGATTGTTATTTATTAAGTAAGTAAGAGGTGAAAAATTTAATTAAAAAAAGTGTAAACAAGTATAAGCACAAGTGTGGTGAAGTAAATACTCAAAAGCCATCAAATGTCTACTAGCAAAATTCCAAGACCTGGTGTCACAAGTGTATGAGCTACTAGTAGAATATACAAAACACTAAACTACTGCCCGAAATAGAGTAGACAGAAAGTAAATGCAAAAGAGAGACTCCGGGTGCTGTAGAACGGGATCGGAAAGCATCTCACCACTAAGTCTCAGAGTATCAGGGGGTGCGCGCCGGGATGACTGCCAAATGCACCTGCCTAAGATCCTGCACAATTAGTGTAGAAGTGTAGCTTGAGTACATAAATAACATGCACCCAGTCTAACCTCGAATAAGTAGTGACGAGGAGTCGACATCGACAATTACTATGGGCCAATAATAAAATATAAAAATTCTAAATAGGTATGGAACATGAAAAAAATAAAATAATAATAATAATAATAATAATAATAATAATAATAACAAGCAGTGAATAAATGACTCCTCAACTGATAATAAATTTCAAAATCTCTAGCCAACACCTACTAACCCCAAATCAATTTCTGTTATTAAATAAATTATGACCTCGCAAGCCATAAAGTAATATCAAGTGTAATCAGGCTGCGAGTACTATCACGCACGATTTATGCCGAACCAAAAATATATTGTGTGCACTACCGAGGGTCAAACGACACGAACCATAGATGCATCTATTAACCTACCAAGGCGAACGACCCTTTCCCATGAGAATGGAGAAGTTTACATCGCTCGCGGAAGTACTTGTGACGCAAGAGCACAGGGATTTCGCAAAGTGATCAAGTATTCTTCAGTTCTTTCCCCAAAATAATAAATCTAACTTGGAAGTTTTCAACTAAAAATCTCTAGTCTCTACTCAATTTAAGATAATTAATGTGCATAACAAACACGACAGTACAATAAAGCATGATGTAAATCTAAGACTACCCGGACATCTCATGGAATATAGCTACATATGGACTCTCGTCACCTAGTGTGTACGCAGCTCCCCACACAAGTAACTCACAACAAAAATACACCTGAGGGGAATGAGTTCCCTTTTACAAGGTTAGGAAAGAGACTTACCTCGTTCTCAAGCTCACTTCNCAGCAGAATAGCAGTATTTCCACAGATTTGAGCAATAATAAGACCCGAGGAAACCAAATGCACAATACAGTATTTTTAAATACACTTCAGATTTTAACTGAACAATGGAATCAAATAAATTTGAACAGATTCAACGAAAGAACAATATTTCAGATTTCAGTTTCTTTTCTGTTTCAAATTCCCATTTCTGATTTTTTTGTTTCTGCTGTTGTATCTGTGTGTGTATGTGACTGTTTTCTTTTCTGTTTCTTTTTCCTCTTCAGATTTTCATTTCTGATTTTCTGCTTGATTTTCCACACTCAAATCTGACTTTTCACTCTCTTAAAAACTTTCCCTGAAGACTGATATTCAGACCTAAATTCTTTTTCTGAAAACTGATTTCTCTCTCTCAATCTCTTCCTTATTTTTTCTTCTGAACTCAAAGGCTCCCCTCTTCAAATCTGATTTTTTTTCTCTCTCTTAAAAATCTACCCCCCTTAAAGTCTATCCAGCTCCCTGTATTTATACAGGGATGGTCCTATCTTTTTAAGTGCTTCTTGGACCCTTTTCTCCTTTTAAAATCAGAAAGTTTTCCATTAAAACTGCTTTTGAATACTTTAAATCTAAGTGCTCTTATCCTGATTTTTCAGCAGCCCATTATCCCTTATTCTCCATTAGTATCTTAAATTATAGCCATTAACATCCCACTTTCAGTCCACTATTCTATCACATTA